TAGCTGGAACCACAGGTGCCCACCACCATGCTTGGCTATTTTTTTTTTTTTTTTTTTTTTTTGAGATGGGGGGCACTTTATTTTGTCCAGGCCCTTTTTCCTTTTCTTTTTTTTTTTTTTTTTTTTTTTTTTGGCATATGAAAATTTATTACTACAGTGTTTTCACCATTAAAATTTATGATCTTGGTCTTTCCTTCTTTCCTTTATATAGGGCCAAAAAGACACATTGGCTACTTTGACAACCTTAAAGCGGACTCCAGGAATATCACCAACAGCATGACCTTTGCGACCAGATCCAGCAACCAGAACTTCATCATTTTCCTCAATAAAGTTCAAGCAACCGTCATTGGGTACAAAGGCTGTGATTTTCTTGCCATTCTTGATCAGCTGGACCCTGACACACTTCCTAATGGTAGAATTTGGCTGTGTGGCTTCAACTCCTACTTTTTCCAGCATGATTCCTTTTGCATGAGAAGCACCTCCAAAAGGGTTGGCCTTCAGGGCTGTGCCCAAATGGGCTTTCTTGTACTGTTTATCATGCCACTTCTGGTCTCATCGGTGACTGTGGAGCTTCCTAGCAGTACGAAGTCCACGACACTTGCCCATCCTGTCGGTGCCACGGGCCTCCCTTTTTCCTTTTTCTTCTTGAGAGATGGGGTCTTGCCATGTTGCCCAGGCTGGATTTGAACACCTGTGCTCGAGGGATCCTGCGACCTCAGTCTCCTGAGTAGCAGGGATTATAGGCACATGCCACAGTGCCCAGCTTTCATATCTTTCCTTTTCTCTCTTTCTTTTTTTTTGAGATAGAGTCTCACTCTGTTGCCCAGGCTGGAGTGCACTGGCACGATCTTGGCTCACTGTAACTTCTGACTCCTGGGTTCAAGCGATTCTCCTGTCTCAGTCTCCCAAGCAGCTGGGACTATAGGCATGTGCCACCACACCTGGCTAACTTTTTTGTATTTTTAGTAGAGATGGAGTTTCGCCATGTTGGCCAAACTGGTCTCGAACTCCTGGCCTCAAGTGATCCACCCTCCTTGGTCTCCCAAAGTGCTGGGATTGTGGGCATGAGGCATTGTGCCCGGCCTCATATCTTTCTTTAAGCAGACTTTAAAAAATCAAAACTGGTTTGTTTTCTGACCCTTGTGTGGGTTTGCATTGCATTTCTTGAGGAAAGGATGTTCATTCTTCTTCACACTCAGAATTTATTTTGGTCCCATGAAGCCCAATGCTCCAATGCAGCTGTTAAAAAGCTGCCCCAAATGTTTGCAAAATGGGAGGAATACACATTGATGAGGTTATCACTCATTCATTTAGTCATTAATTCATGCAACAAGTATTTATTGAGTGTGTACTTTGGGTCAGGCAGCCTCGGCCTAAGTCACTGAGCAAGACAAAGATCTCTGTCATTAGAGAGCTTGTTCTCTGGTAAGTGTGCATGTGGGGTGTGGAGGACAGACAAAAATAAATATGCAAATTATTTAGTATGTTAGAAGATGATAAATGCCACAGGGGTAGGGGAAGGCAGGCCAAGGGAGGATAGAAGTGGATGACAGGGGGCACAATGCAGTTTAAAATAGCATTGCCAGGGTAGTCCCTGTTGAGGGTGTGAAATGTGCGCTGAGACTTCAAAGAGCAGAGGATATCCTTATGCTGTATCCTGTGTGTGTGTGTTTGCATGAAAATACCACTAAAGACAGAATTTTTTTTTTTTTTTTTTTTTTTTTTGGAGACAGAGTCTAGCTCTGTCATCCAGGCTGGAGTGCAGCGGCTCAATCTCAGCTCACTGCAACCTCTACCTCAGCCTCCCAAGTAGCTGAGACTACAGGCGTGCACCACCACAGCCGACTAGTTTTTGTATTTTTAGTAGAGACAGGGTTTCACTGTTGGCCAGGCTGGTCTCGAACTCCTGAGGCCGAGTGATCTGCTTGCCTCAGTCTCCCAAAGTGCTGGGATTACAGGCGTGAGCCACCATGCCCAGATGGAAATATTTTTTAACAGCTATTTTGAGATATAAATCATACCAGCCAGGTGTGGTGGCTCATGCCTGTTAATCCCAGCACTTTGAGAGACTCAGGCGGGAGAATTGCTTGAGCTCAGGAGTTTGAGTCCAATGTGGGCAATAAAACTAGACCCTGTCCTTACAAATAAAAATAAAAAATTAAAAATTTAGCTTGGTGTGGTGGTGTGTACCTGTAGTCCCAGCTACTCATGAGGCTGAGGCTGAAAGATCACTTGAGCCCAGGAGGTGAAGGCTGCAGTGAGCCGTGATGGCGCCACTGCACTCTCCTGACAGTGAGACCCTGTTTCTAAAAGAAGAAAAAATTCATATGCCATAACATTGACCCTTTAAAAGTGTACGATTTAGTTGTTTTTAGTATATTTACAGAGTTGTGCAACCGTCACCATTATCTAATTCCAGAATATTTTCATCACTATCCAAAGAAACCCATTAGCACTCACTACCCATTCGTGCCTTCCCCCATCCCCTGGCAACCACTAATCTACTTTCTGTCTCTATAGATTTGCCTGTTTTGGGCATTTCATATAAATGGAATCATAGAGTATGTGGGCTTTTGGGTCTGGCTTCTTTCACTTAGCATAATGTTTTCAAGGTTCATCCATGTTGTAGCATGTATTTCATTTTCTTTTCTTTTTCTTTTTCTTTTTCTTTTTTTGAGATAGAGTCTCACTCTGTCGCCCAGGCTACAGTGCAGTGGTGTGATCTTGGCTCACTGCAACCTCTGCCTTCCCGGTTCAAGGGATTCTCCTGCCTCAGACTCCTGAGTAGCTGGGATTACAGGCACATGCCACCATGCCCAGCTAATTTTTGTAATTTTAGTAGAGACAGGTTTTTGCCATGTTGGCCAGGCTGGTCTCAAAATCCTGATCTCAGGTGATCCACCAGCCTTGGCCTCCCAAAGTGCTGGGATTACAGGTGTGAGTCACTGTGCCCAGCCAAGTGTTTCATTTCTTTTTTTTTTTTTGAAAGAAGTCTCGTTCTTGTCCCCCAGGTTTGGATCTCAGCTCACTGCAAACTCCGCCTCCCAGGTTCAAATGATTCTGGCTCTGCCTCCCAAGTAGCTCGCATTAAGGCGCCTGCCACCATACCCAGCTAATTTTTGTATTTTTAGTAGAGACAGGATTTCACCATGTTGGCCAGGCTGGTCTCAAACTCCTGACCTCAGGTGATCAGCCTGCCTTGGCTTCCCAAAGTGCTGGGATTACAGACGTGAGCCACTGTGCCCGGCCAGTATTTCATTTCTTGATAGATAATATCTCATTGCATGGATAGACCACATTTGGTTATCCATTTATCAGTTGGTGGTGGGTGTCTTTGAATTTTAAATATTGCAAAATGTCATCCATGAGCTATAGAGATTTGCCCTCCCCCTTAATTAAGAACTGGATGGAGGCTGGGTATGTGGCACCTGTAGTCCCAGCTACTCAGGAGGTTGAGCTGGGAGAATACTTGGGTACAGGAGTTTGATACTTGGGCACAGTGAGCTGTGATCAGACCACTGCATGCCAGCCTGTGCGACAGAGGGAGACCCTGTATCTAAATGAAAAAATAAAAAGACCTTGTGGGGGTCATTGTCAGGACCGATGGTGCCCAGTTGCAGTTAGCACTGGTTAGGCTCGGTTTTGGAGAAACTAAAAAGCCACCTCCCTCCAGAGTACTGCTTTCCCAGGTGCCTCCCTGCTGAGTGGAAGCTCTGGGTGGTCCAAATGTGGTAATACAGATCTGTGGATTTTTCTCAAGTGTGTTTTCTGTTACACATTAGATTTTTTTTTCAGCTTTAAAATGTAACCTTGGTAAGTTGTTTACTCAAGAAAATTCTCAATGAGTTTTCTTTCTTTCTTTTTGTCTTTTTAACATTTTGGGTGTGGTAGCAAGTAGAAGCAGATTCATCCTAACCAAATATTTGCAAATATCTGAACAAAGCTATTCTGGCCAGGGAAGGAAGACTCCACGGAGGAAGTGGGAATTGGATCTGGCTTTTGAAGGAGGGGTTCAATTCTCAGAGGACTAGATGAGGAAGGAAAAGGCATGTTCCAAAAAGGGGCAGGGAATTAAAAGTTTATTTTCTGGGTGAGTGGGAACCTCTGAGCCCTTGAGCACGTGCCTTAGATATGTTAGTTTGGCAGCCAGCAGCCTGTGCATAGACGGTGATAATGGTGTTGGGACTCCTCTGGCCTGCACGTGGCGAGACTCAAAGTTTTCAGACTTCTTTTGGGGACGGTGTCTGAATTACAGTCTCTGGGGCTGCAGAAAGATGACTCCATCAGAAGGTCCTCAAGGTCTTCCCCAGCTCCTTCAGTACAGACTTCAGAGAGAGAAGCTGTCTAGGCGACACCTGTGCAAGAACTGGACACGACCCAAGCTGCAAACTGTCCCGACCATCCCGGCCTTCCCCGTTCGATCCTGGAGGTGGGGGTGGGAATGGAGAACCCAGAGCGGGCGATCAAGCTTCCTGGGAACTGTGAATTGGGGCAGGGGAATCAGGAAGGACGAGGCCTTTCAAGACCAAATGGCCCTAACTCCTGCACCCGACCAGGACGCGTGGCGCCTCCAGAGAGGACGCGCATCGCCCGGAGCAGGTTGCGGTCCCAGTTCCCGCCGAACTCTAGCAACCGCGAGGAGTAATGTCTGCCGTGGGGGGCGGAGCGCAGCGGGGGCGGAGCGCGGCCGAAGGGGCGGAGCGAGGCCGAAGGGGCGGAGTAGAGACGACCGGCGGGGGGCGGGGCGAGAATAATGGGGTGGAGCAAGACGACGGGCGGGGGCGGAGCGAGGACGACGAGGCGGAGCGCAGACCGCGGGCGGGGGGCGGAGCTGGGATGATGGGGCGGAGCGAGAATAAAGGGGCGGAGCACAGATAGATGTCGGGGCGGGGAGGGGCGGGGCGTTCTCGGCCTTCGGGCCCCGCCTCTCGCCTCAGGCGCGCCTGCCCCGCCTTCTCACTCCCCACGGCGGCGGCGGTGGCGGAGGCCGAGGGCGGGGAGGGAGGGGAGAGCGGGTCACGACGCTGCCGGGGCGGGGATAACCCCTCACGTGGAGCAGATGAAAGGGCCGCGGCGCGACGGCCGGGGGAGCCGAGCTGAGCCTGCGACCCACAAAGCCGCCGCCGCCGCCGCGATGGGGCTGTGAGGCGTCCGCCCGCGTTCGGTCCTCAGCCGGCCCGCGACTATGCCCGGCCGCGCCCGCCCTCCGCGCCCTCCCGCTGCAGGACCATGAGGCCGCGCTCGGGCGGGCGCCCAGGGGCCCCGGGCCGCTGCCGCCGCCGCCTCCGCCGCCGCCCCCGCGGCCTCCGGTGCAGCCGCCTGCCGCCGCCGCCGCCGCTGCCGCTGCTGCTCGGGCTGCTGCTGGCGGCCGCGGGGCCCGGCGCGGCGCGGGCCAAGGAGACGGCGTTCGTGGAGGTGGTGCTGTTCGAGTCGAGCCCAAGCGGCGACTACACCACCTACACCACCGGCCTCACGGGCCGCTTCTCGCGGGCCGGGGCCACGCTCAGCGCCGAGGGCGAGATCGTGCAGGTAGCTGCCCGCCGCCCGGGCCCCGCGCCGCCGCCGCCACAAGATGGCTCCGGGGGCTGCGCCCGCCGACCCCGCCGCGGGCTGCCTGACTGGCGGGCGGGCGGGAGGGGTGGCCGTGAGGCCGGCGGCATCCTTCCCTTGCGGGCGGGCAGGCGGGCGGGACGCGGCCTCCGGGGCGCAGCCGCGGGGGTCGAGCGCACGTGGGGGCTAGAGCTCCTGTGAGCCCCGGGGCGGGAGGGGGATCCTGGGCCCGGCACCCACGCTGGGGCGGCCCCCTTGGCCGGTTGGGTGTTTAGGTCTGCCTCAGGTGGAAGTCCCGGGAACTACCTGTTGAATGTCAACTTTGGAAAGACAAGTGATGAGGGATGGGGTGGCTTGTTTCAGGTTGCAGGCTTTGCTTTCCATCCATGCATGTTCTTTTTGGGTGCGGCTAGGTTTGTCTGAAGGGCTGCACAACATTGGGTTCTTCCCCGGAACCTGCCGCCCGCCTCACCTGGGCGCCGCTGACCCTTCTGCGGGGCTCTGGACAAGCAGCAGCAGGCAGGGGAGGAGGCGGAGCTGGTCGAGGAATGGGGATGGGGGTTCCCTGGAGTGGCAACGGAAGGCAGCCCTCTCTGCGTGCCTCGCATTACAGAGGGTAGGAGGGATACTGCCTGCCCGTCCCTCGGCCAAAGACTAATGCGAAGGGCCTGCAGATGGGGAGATGGGGTCTCTCACTGACAGGGCCTCCACCTTGGACCAAGTGAAAGAGATCTGCATTCCGAAGGAAGCTGGCTAGGGAGAGCTTTAAGCTGTGCCTACTCTTTGGAGGAGGGACTCTCAACTGAAGCTTCTGCGGACGGTTAGCTGGGTGGATATCTTCCCGCTTCCTTGGCCATGGTTTTATCAACTTGTTACTAGACGGCCAGCGCACTTATAGCAGTTAATATGCGCGCCTCGGATGGGGGCGATTTGTAAAGGTTGGCTTGTCTTTGAACTTTTGGGGTGATCGGATGTCTGCAGGGCCTAAGCTTTGTGGGCCTTCTGTGCTTTACTCTTGGGTGAGTTATGAATGAAAAGAAAGGGACTGCATGGAATGACTGCATAGCAGCCCACAGCGTAGACAGTCTGTTCCGAGGTGTCCTTTTCCCTCCTTGGGTGCAGACTCAAAGCCCTGCCTTCATAGGACAGAGAGAGCTGTGCAGCTTGACTCCGTAGAGATGTGCCCTTACAAAGCTGGAGGAGGCACCCAGGCCCAAGCGATTAATCAGCAGCATTGCCTTACCGGGCTCTTAGCCCCATCTGAAAACTTCTGTGGGGTAAATAGAAGAGGAAACTCCTTCATTGAGCCCTTTGACTATGTTAATGCTTTTGGACTTAAAAAAATGTTGTAATTATGATCTTCATAAGTTTTAGAGATGATGCTTTGCTGAAGATTCCTAAACATTTAAGTCTTGCTCCTTGCAACTTCTTGTCTTTCTTTGAGGCTTTCATTGTGCCCTGATGGTTTTTGAAATGTTCGATTTACAACCTTATATATATAAAAAAAAGACGCTTTAGCGTGGCACTTGACTTTTTGAAGGAGACTTTTGAAGTTTGCAGTTTCTATCTGCAGTGTTTTAAAGTGTCACTCTTTCTCAACAGTAGTTTGGTGAGCAAGCTATCCATTATGAGGAGTGTTATGCTTTGGAGATAATCTTGGGTTCACCATTTAATACAAAATTAGCAGTTTAAACACCATTTGTAACTATTTTATCCTTGTGAGTAGAGAGATAATATGTGAATTTGGCAGAAGGAATCTATTCTCTTCTGAAACTTTTTGAAGTGCTTATCTAACTCTTTTGTAGTCCATTAGCCTAGCCAAAAAAAAAAAAAAAAAACAAAAACAAAAAAAAAAAAACAGTCAATAGTTGCTAAGTAAAGAAAAGTGACTTAAATGGTATTTAATAAGTTTACCTGTTAAGCAATCACTAATAGGTGTCCTTAATTCCCTTATAGCTGCAGTAATGTTGGTGAGTTTATCTGAGCTGTCTGAATAGTCATTTCATGGTGCACCTCGTATCTTTAGTAACTTTATTGTGGTGGCTGACTTGTTGAACCTCCCTGTTTCTGCGGACAGAGTGCAGTGTGGCTTTCAGGGATGTGTGTGTACAAAGGCTAGCGTGCTTTTATGAGTTCTGCAAATACTGTTTGATTGAAGGAACTGGTGTGGACCTTGTCTGGCAGCCCTGAAAAACTTTTTTGTAAGGAAGGCTGATGTTTTAGGGCCGCTGAGAGGGAATATAACGTTTTCTTTTGGTGAGAAATGAGAAAGCAGAAGGAATAAATTGGTGTCCAGCTTTGGATTAATCATGTTTTCTAAGTAACCTGACCTTTTCAAAACCTCCTTTTATTTACTCTTTAAAAATACCTCCTTTTGTTGACTATCTTGAAAAACCTTTATAGGCTTTAGAGATGATGCTGTGCTGAAGATTCCCAAACATTTTGTCCACAGTCTTCAAGAATAGTTTGAATCTTAACTCTTGCTCATTGTAACTTCTTGTCTTTCTTTGAGGCTTTCATTGTGCCCTGGTGACACAATCTCATTGAACTTTTCAAAACTTCCTTTTATTTACTATCTTAAAAGAAAACAGTAGCCGGGCATGGTGGCTGATGCCTGTAGTCCCAGCATTTTGGGAGGCTGAGGCAGGAGGATTGCTTGAGCCTAGGAGTTCGAGACTAGCCTGGGCAACACAGTTAGACCTGGTCTCTACACACACACACACACACACACACAAAACCCAGTGTGGTGGCATGCACCTGTAGTCCCAGCTACTTGGGAGGCTGAGGTGGGAGGATTGCTTCAGCCTGGGAGGCTGAGGTTGCAGTGAGCCATGATTACACCACTGTACTCCAACCTGGACAACGGAGCAAGACTGTCTCTCAAAAACAAACAAACAAACAAAAAACAGTGTGATTTGCTGATTAGTGTTTTATCGTCTCAGAGCAGAGTTCATTTTCCTATAACTAAAGCTAAATAGTAGCATTATAGCATTGCTTTTGTTATTTCCACCGGGGTTCTGTAGCAGTATTATTCATGGTTTAGGGGAGAAAAAACCTGTTTAGGAGTCTGTCACCTTTAAGAATTCTAAGATAAGAAATTGGTTTGTATTACTGATTTTTAACCCCCCTCTTTATTATATGCCAATGAAAAGTATGAGTGTGTGTGTGTGTGTGTGTGTGTGTGTGTGTGTATATTTGTATAGTAGATACCATATCACAGTCTGGTTTGCCTAGATAATTCTAACTAGAGTACCTGTTCAGTCATTTCCATGGGTTAGGGTAGGGGAAGCCTAGTTAAGAATTGTGTCAGTTTGTTTGTCAGTGTCAGAGAGAGAGAGAGAGAGAGAGAGAGTGCAAGAGGGAGAGAGGTAGTAATTCAAACCTTAGGATTCGTCATCAGGAATCTTGGTTCTTCTCCTTTGCATTTTAGCTTAAATAACTATCCCAAGGTCACCAGTGTAATCTGAATGAAGAATTTTTTTTTTTTTGGTCTCCATCTGTGAAAGTTGTGGCGAAAACAATTTGTGGGTATGAAATGCTATTAGTTACTTTTATTATCTTATTTATTTATGCAGTGTTAAAGCCCGTTTGCTTGTAAGAGTGTCAGGCATACAGTTTGAATGCTGGAGAAATTAATTACACTTCTCCTATAGTTCTGAAGTGTGAGACTTTAAAGGGTTCTTAGACATATTGATATATATTTCATCTTTGAACCAATTTGTTCTGTTAATGAGATCATTATCTGAAACTTTCAGACTTGGCTGTGCAACTCACATGGTTGGTGATGTTAAATAAAGGCCTGATTAAACACTGGCTAGTGGTATGTGGATTGGTTAAACAAAGAAAATTTGCATTGCTAGAGATGAAAGATTGTTTTAAAGTGGAAATGCTTTTTTTTTTTTTTTTTTTGCTTGAAGTCAAATATTTAGAAAAGCTTGAGAAATTCATTTGTAGAAGGAATCTGAATGATAGGTTCTGTGTAACTTTAAATTCAGCCTTTCTGGATTCTAGGGTAAATGCTGAATGGACTTGAAAACAGAGAGAAGCTGAGGACATTTAAGAACTAAGTCAGTTAGGGGTGGGAAGAGAGCTGGGTGGTGGGTTAAAAGGGCTGATCAAGGTCCTTAAATATCCGATGTTAGGTAAAGGTATCACAGAGAGTAATTTTAGGAAACTAATTCCTCTGCTTTGTTTCCCTGTCAGTGTGCTTCTGCAGTTTAGCATTTGATCAAACACTTTCTTTTCATCTCAATTTTAAGTTAACTTACCAGGCCTGCCTCTAAAAATTGACTTGGTCTAGTAGAACAATTGTGTGCTGACAGCTGACCTGGATTTACAGAGAAAGAGATTGCCCACTGTCTTCTCAGATGGGCCTTCAAAGGTTAAAACCAAGCATTTGATTCAGGGGGGAAAATTGGGGCTGTATTTTTTGTCGTTATAAACTCTTAGAGCCTCTTGCCGGCCGGGCGCGGTGGCTCACGCCTGTAATCCCAGCACTATGGGAGGCAGGCGGATCACAAGGTCAGGAGATGGAGACCATCTGGCTAACACGGTGAAACCCCGTCTCTACTAAAAATACAAAAAAAAAAAAAAAAAAAAAAAATTACCCGGGTGTGGTGGCGGTCGCCTGTAGTCCCAGCTACTCGGGAGGCTGAGGCAGGAGAATGGCGTGAACCCGGGAGGCGGAGCTTGCAGTGAGTGGAGATTGCGCTACTGCACTCCAGGCTGGACGACAGAGTGAGACTCTGTCTCAAAAAAAGAAAAAATTCTTAGAGCCTCTTATTTTCTGTTTTGTTCCCTGAGATCTCGTGGGAGTTACTAGTACAATTCTGAATAGGAATGAAGATGGGAGTTCAGTGTAGAGCTGTAGACTGAAGGGAAGGCAGTGATGGTTTCCTCTTATTTATACAGAGGACCGCCAAGCATGTCATGTTTTGGTTCATCTCATCCTGACACTAACGTGCAGTTAGCCACTATTG